CTGGAAAACCTATCAGAAATTCTGGGAACAAAAAAGATATCACGAAATAGCGAAATAAAATTAGCAAAATCAGATGAACCCCAACTCCCACCAACAGAAACAGCAGACTCAATGATTTCTTCTCCACTATAGGACAAAACCTTGCCAATAAAATCCCAAGCTCAGATACCCCACCAAATGACTACCTCACCGGCAACTACCCGAACACACTGTTCCTAGCTCCGACTAACCCATACGAAGTCTCCCTTATTATCAACGCACTAAAAATCAAGGCAGGAGATTTAAATACCTTACCACCCTTTATATACAAAAAAAGTGTCACAAGTGCTATCACCAATCATTGCAACACTCTTTAACAAATCCATTGAATCCTCCACCTTCCCTACCGTACTCAAAATAGCAAGGGTCACCCCGATCCACAAAGGAGGAGACCAAACAGAGTTGAATAACTATAGGCCAATATCCAACTTACACCCTCTCTCAAAAATCTTCGAAAAATTAATTCACAAACGAATCTACTCCTACCTTATCTCCAAAACATACTCAACCCCTGCAATTTGGATTCAGGCCTAATAAAAATACTAATGATGCATTATACACATGCTAGAACATAATAACACTGCAATAGAGAAAAAGAAGTCCCACTGGGGATCTTCATTGACTTACGTAAAGCTTTTGATACAGTTGACCATGACTTGCTCCACGTAAAATTGTCACACTATGGTATAAAGGGCACTCCCTCAACTACCTCAAGTCATACCTCAGCAACAGAAGCCAATATGTGTACGCAAATGGGGCAACTCTTCTGCGCAACCAGTTACAGTTGGTGTCCCACAGGGAAGTGTCCTTGGCCCTTCTCTTTCTCCATACATAAATGACCTCCAAATGCTTCGCAATTACTCAAAACCCACACTATTTGCAGATGACACTACATACGTCTTCTCTCACCCGAGCCCAGTCACGCTAGCCAATACTGTAAATACCGAATTACAGAAAATATCTACCTGGATGAGGACTAACAAACTTACACTAAACATTGACAAAACCTACTTCATTCAGTTTGGTAACAGAGCTACAGATGTCCCTCTTAACATAATGATAAACGGATCACCTATCACAAAACTAACAGAGGGAAAATTCTTAGGAATCCACCTTGATAATAGACTCAAATTTCATACACATATACAACAAATTTCTAGAAAATTTCCAAGACTGTAGGCATACTATCGAAGATACGGTACTATGTTCCACAGTCAGCCCTCCTGGCCCTATATCTTATTTACCCCTATCTCACCTATGGAATTTGTGCATGGGGCTCAACAACAATTAACCATCTCAGACCACTAATTACTCAACAAAAGGCTGCAGTTTGAATGATAACAAATTCTCACTACAGGCAGCACACTCCACCAATATTCAATACACTAAACCTACTCACCATACAAAACATCCATACTTATTACTGCACCTATTACATACATAGAACACTTAACTCTGATATTAACCCTCCCCTCAAACATCTCCTTGCCAATCTCAACAGAACACATGACCATAACACAAGGAACAGATCACTCTTTGATGTTCCTCGTGTCCATCTCACACTATGCAAAAACTCAATGCACATAAAAGGCCCTAAAATCTGGAATTCATTACCTGTAAATATAAAAGAAACACTACCTGTTTATAAATTCAAGTCTCTTCTCAAAGATCACTTACTCACCCAAAACCAAATAAATACTGAATAACAACCTTATAAATTGTATATCTTAAATGTTTCTCACAATTATATCACATAAATGTTAAACCTAAAACCCAATCTAACTTTATTATTTTTTAAATACACTACCTAACAGAATACTCCATACGACTGAATGTACAACAATGCAAGCAACCATATGACCTGTCTTTGTAATACTCACTTGTGCTTTATAGTAATCTGTTTACATTAATGTTTTATCACTGATTTCATCATTGCTTAGTTAATCTTAAGTTAATTTTAAGCCAGCCCGTAATGCTATGCATAGTATAAGTGGCTTTGGCATACTGCTCTTATCTGTATTTTTTTGTACCTCTGTATGTGTGCTCAAATTGGAAATAAATAAATAAATAAATAAAAATCTCTCTCGCCTGCATTCGAGGGAATACAGATCAAGGACCTTCAACCGTTCCCAGTAGTTTAGGTGCCTTATCGTACTTATGTGTGCCGTGAAAGTTCTTTGTACACTCTCCAGGTCTGCAATGTAGTCCGCCTTGAAGGGTTCCGTTAGTGTACAGTAGCATTACACTATGTACAGAGATTGAATAGTAAGTGTACCACACGACGGTGGCAGAATGACAAAAGCAAAAACCAGAGAGAGAGAGCACCGTACTCAACGAGCAGGTAGGTAATTCTGCCAAATGCTGACTGCAAGTGAAACTACATTGCCTCAGCATTTGGCGGGCTCACCTGTGATTGGACAATGAGCCAAGGTACTGATTTAACGACGGGTACCCTAATAATTATAATCGTTAAACCCTTAGCACCCGGTTTGCTGGTTGGATAGGCAGCCTATATGGGAGTGTGACGTACGCGGAATGAATTGTAACATACTCTTTGCATGCCACAAAGATGAGATTTTACTACTCTCGTTTGTCCAGTGATGATCCTAAATACTGTACTTTTGCTGTTCATGACATGGATGTACAGAGTGCATCCACTATAAGGTACTCTCCTAACATGAGGAAGAGGTTGACTTTCTGCTATCACTTAAGTAGACAGAACGCTGTAAGACTGTAAGACTGTTAAACTATCTCGTCACACCGTTTAATATGTGCATTGCAGCCATGTCATTCCAAAGCCTGTTGCAGGAGCTGACCTACATATTGGAAGGAGTTGTGCCATATGTGGATGACTCATGGTTTATAATGACGAAAGGGAACAGCATCTGTCAGTCCTCAGAATATTTGAGATATTTTCATATTGCAGTTTCTCAATAAACTTGGCTAAAGGTGTTTTTCGACAAGCTAACATATCTCTGTTTTTGCATAGGCAGGGTGAGGTTGCTCCAGATGTGAAGGTTCGTGCCTTCACCTAAAGATCGAAAGGGAGTTCAGAGATTTCTTGATATGGTTGTTCAATATCGCAGATTCTGTCCCAACTTCTGTAATATCGTTGCTCCTCTGACGGAACTTACATCTAGTAAGGTTATGTTTTGCTGGACTCGTAATTGTGAAGTGACATTTTCTAGGTTGGATCACTTACTTTCCTCGGCTCTTCTGCTTAAGAACACAAAATTCACAATCACTTTCTACCTGCATATAGATGCGATTAAATATGCAGTAGGTGTTTATTTCAGTATAAGTCGTCAGTCACTGACAAACTCCATTCTATATTTTACTTTTCCACTAAACCCAAACGTCGTCAGAAATGCTATGTCATAACTTAAAACGAGGCATTAACTCTAGTGGTGGGTAGAATTAACTCTAGTGGTGGGTAGAATTAGCTCTAGTGGTGGGTAGAATTAAAAGCAGGATAACACTCCAGTGCTAAATGCTTGAAGGTATCAGGATAGGCCTTTTCCTGTGTGCAGGATTCCAGGACTTCTGTGTTCTTTAGCTCTGTTAGTATGGAGACAGATTTCCTCGTACACAATATAAACTTACTGAGTTGAATCCAATTTATAAGATGCAACGGCAATTAAAAGTAAAGCCGTTCCTAAGACGTTTACTTATCATGTTTAAGGAGATTTACCTGGGAAAAACTACATTTTACACCCTAAACAATTAATTATTGTACGCACCGACACACCTCAGTTTCACTCCTTGCTCTCGCGTAATTAAGATACATCGTTTATGATTGCTTGAAGCCAAGCATAACAGGTTCTTTAAAATTATTGAAATCATTCCAGGAAACTTGGAATGGTCTCTGATAACGCTGGATGAGTCTTGCATTAGTTACCATACACCAATGTTGAAAATTTGAAGCTGATTCATCATATGAGTGAAATAAAAACAATAATTTGGAGGAAGAGGAAAAGCAAGAAATTATTCAGGTAACCTCCTCCAGGTGTCCCTTATGAATAAATGTATCAACGATAGTACTGCCAACTTGCTGTTTCAAGTTGTGCAACAATTGATAACTCCTGTTGTGTCCAAAATGCTAACACCATTTGTGTCCCCATGTGATTACTCTAGTTGTTTCCTGTGTGATAACTATAGTTGACCCACGTGATAACTCCTGCTTTGCTGCATGTGATAACTACAGCGTTTCAGGTGTAATAGTTCAGCTGTGTCCCATGTGATGGCTCGTTGTTTCATACGTGATACATCTAGCTTTGCCCTATTTAATAACATCAGATTTCTCCCCTTTAATGACTCACGATTTGTCCCATGTGATGACCACTCCTTTGTCTCGTTACCCAAGCTTCGTCTCATCTGATGATCTCAGCTTTGAGATACGAATACTCCTGTGCGCAATATGCTGATTTAATTTTGTCCTACCTATGTACTCCAGCTCTGTCCTATTTGCTTAACCAAGCTTAGTGCAGGAATATGAATAAATCTTTATCCTATCTGCAGCCCAAAGGATATATGATAAAGCTTAGTCCAATCTGATGACTCAAGCTTTATCCTATAGTATGAACGTTGTCATATCTGATGACACTATCTTTATCCTGTCTGATAATTCAAGACACAAACAACACGTACATAGGAGAGAGAAAACCTTATGACAACGCTTAGGTTAGACTTGGGCCACAAGACACACTGATAATTCAAGCTGTGTTCTCTTGCTAACCCCACCTTTGTGCTACTGTATATATAACCCCATCTTTTGTGCTACTGTATATAATGACTTAAGCTTCGTGCCATTTACTGACACCGTCTTTATGCCATCTGCTGACTCCATCTATATGCCATATACTGACTCCATCTTAATGCCATCTGCTGACCCCTTCATTACTCCATCTGCTGACCTCATCTTTATGCCATATCCTGACCCCCATCTTTATGCCAACTGCTGATCAGATCCGGATTATGATTCTATAGGCTCCTGGGCTACATGTACTGTGAGGCTCCTTTAGAGATCCACTCTTAAATCTGTCAAAAAATAATCACTCAGTCAACAGTTCATCATATACGAGATGTAATAACATACTGTAATTATAAACTTACAGCAGTAACTGTCAACACTTTTCACATAATCTCTGGGATGACGGAGGCCACTGAGCTGAACCCTTACCTAAAGCCCATACTTTAATCCCACCCTATTGCTGATCCCATCTTTATGCTCTCTACTGACCCATCTTTATGCCATTTGCTGACCCCATCTTCATGCCACTTGCTCCTTCGTTTTATTTGCTCAGAGCTGTTTTGTGGCATCTGCTGATCCCATAGTGTTGTACTAGCCCCTCACCAAAGCTTCGTGCTAAATGCTGTTTACAACATTTGCATCATACTATGATCTCCAGATTTGTCCCGCCATGGGACTGAAAAAATTATGGTAGTTGAAATATATGATCATCCGCCTTCGGTGCATGAAGTATATCCTCACAAGAGTATCCCAAGTTGCACCTCAGTCTCATTTATATGCTTGACTATTGTAAAAAATAATATCAGATATTTTGCTCAAGTTCTCTAGAAATGGTTATTAACGATGGAATATAAAACTGTTCATGAGGGTTTAGTGTGTCCCTGTGTTCCTGCCTTACCGTCTATAGGATGGACGGAAGATGCACAAGAAAAACTAGCCACTTCAGTAAATGGTGATCAGGATCGTCGAATCGTCGACACTGGATATATTGACTTAGCAAGTAATATCAAAATCGAAACCTTCACTAGGTATACTTTTGCTCCTCGTTAATGTAAATATACAATATATAATCAGCCAATCACGTGGCAGCTCCTCATTGACTAAAATTTTGTATGCCGACATGGTCACGAGGTTAGGATCTCACTAAACATCAGAAAGGGAAAGAGATGTGACCATGAAATGATTGCTGGTGCCAGAATGGGTGTTTGAATATCTCAGAAATTGGTAATTTCCCGTTATTTTATTTTTTATTTTCATGCACAACAGTCTAGAGTTTACAGATAATGGTGTGAAAATATGAATCACCCAGTTAGCTACAATTCTTTGGGCGAAAACGCCTTGTTAGAAGAAGTCGGAAGAAACTGGCCAGACTAGTTCATGTTGATAGGAAGGCGACAGTAACTTCAATAACCATGCATTATAAAAGTGGTATGCAGAAGAGGATATATGAAATCACTACTTATTGAACCTTGAATTGGAGAGGATAAAGCAGCAGTAGACCACACCGTGATCTATTCATTACCGCTAAGAACAGAATACTAAGGCTAAAGTGGGCACAGGCTCACCAAAACTGAAAATGTAAAGACTGGAAAAATGCCACCTGGTTTGTCAATCGCGATTTCTGCTGCAGCAGACATGATTGAGTCAGAATTTGGTTTAATCATTTGGATGTAGTGGAAAAAAATTTGCAGCATACATGTGCGGTTAACAGATCTGCAGTGCAGCAACTGTATGATGCTATCATTCAATCTTGGATGTACCTAATACTATATCCATTAGATAAATATATATATATATATTATATATATATATATATATATATATATATATATATATATATATATATATATATATCAATGAAACATTGCATTGCTCCTGACGACACACGGAGGTTGCAATGTCAGTATAGCTACTGAATTCCCTATACTTATACTTGTGTAGTATATTGTAGATCGTATCATCCATGTATATATTTAGGCTCCCTTTCAATAGGCACAGCGACTAGCATGTGTGACGTCACGTGATGCGCATGTGTGCGTGAGAATCGCTGTAACTCTCACAGTTCTCCATGCTTAAGTCCACGATCAACACAGGCAGGTTGGGCTTCTCCCCTCTCACACTCTGCTAATATATGTGTAACCATCCGACGACTGTGTTTAACTCCAACCATCACATCTCCACGAACCTCCCGACAGCAAAAGATGTTGAGCTAAACATTTCCATCCCGTGTTCCTTGTTCTGCATTGTTAAGATCGCCTCTTTGCGATTGTTTCATATATATATATATATATATATATATATAATATATATATATATATATATATATATATATATATATATATATATATATGCAAAATCACAGTAAATAGGTGATATCACAATATGCAGAACAACCACTGTGAAAAAAATATTGAAATTCCAAGCGCTTTCGTGACTTCTCACATTATCATGAAACTATATCGATACAGACCCTTGATAATGTGAGAAGTCACGAAAGAGTTAGGAATTTCAATATTTTTTCACAGCGGTTGTTTTGGGGGTAGTAGGTTGGTAGAAAGCAACCGCCCAGGGAGGCACTACAGTCCTGCCAAGTGTGAAACGAAAGCCTGTAATTGTTTTACATGATGGTAGGATTGCTGGTGTCTTTTGTCTGTCTTATAAATATGCAAGATTACAGTTACGTCTTCCTACATCTACTTACACTTAGGTCACACTACACATACATGTACACGTTTATTTATACACACTCATCTGAGTTTTCTTTGATTTGATCTTAATAGTTCTTGGTCTTATTACTTTTCCTTTTATATCCATGGGGAAGTGGAATAAGAATCTTTCCTCCGTAAGTCATGCGTGTTGTTAAAGTCAACTAAAATGCCGGGAACAATGGGCTAGTAACCCCTTTTCCTGTAAAAATTACTAAAAAGAATAAGAAGAAAATTGTCAAAGTGGGAAGTCTGAATGTACGTGGATGTTGTGCAAATGATAAGAAAAAGATGATTGTGGATGTTATGAATGAGAAGAAGCTGGATGTCTTGGCTTTAAGTGAAACAAAGATGATGGGGATGGGAGAGTTTCAGTGGAGAGGAATAAATGGGATTAGGTCAGGGGTTTCTAATAGAGTTAGAGCTAAAGAAGGAGTAGCAATAATGTTGAAGGATAAGTTATGGCAGGAAAAGAGGGACTATAAATGTATTAATTCAAGGATTATGTGGAGTAAAATAAAGGTTGGATGTGAAAAGCGGGTTATAGTAAGCGTATATGCACCTGGAGAGAGAGAAGTGTAGAGGAGAGAAATTTTGGGAAATGTTGAGGTGGAATGAGTGGGGAGTTTTGAACCAATGTGTGAGAGTACTTGGTAGGTTGGGTGATTTTTCAATGCTAAAGTGGGCAAAAATGATTGTGGTGGGAGCTAGTAGAGTAAATTTGGGGTGACAGGGTTTAATGAAATTGGGGGAGCACTTTAAATTGAGCTATGTGTAGAAAGAGGTTTGGCTAAGAGTAATACATTTTTTATGGAAGAAGGGGATAAATATTAGACAGGTATGATGTGCACATAATGAAAGTTGTTTGTTAGATTATGTTGGTGGAATTAAAAGGTTTGATGGGTAGGCTCCAGGATGTGCACGTTATAGAGCGGGCAATGTTATATAGGATCAATATTTTGTTGTACGCTACAGGTAGAGTAAGAGGTAGATTGGAATAGAGGAAAAATGGCAACAAGCAGAGGGAGGCGAAAGTGTATAAACTACAGGGTGGGAGGAAGGTCGGGTGAGATATAAGCAACTATTGCGAAAGGTTGGGCCTGGTGCAGGTTGAGTAGTGGGGGGGGGGTTTGAAGAGGGTTGGAATAGTTTTAAAAATGCAGTAGTAGAATGTGGGGCAGAAGTTTGTGGTTGTCTTATAGTAGAGTGGGTGCAGGAGGAATTGAGGAGTGAATTGGTGGAATGATGAAGTAAATGGTGTGATAAAAAGAGGGAAAGTTAGCTTATGGAGAAGTTATTTCAAAGCAGAAGTGTTTATTAGATGTGTGAGTATATGGAGAGTAAAGATAGGTGAAGAGAGTTGTGACGCAGTGTGCAAAGGAGAGCAGATGCATAGAAATGGGGAGAAGGTACTGTCAAGAAATTTTTTAATGATAATAAGAAAAATTTTTGGAGTTAAACAAGTTAAGAAAGGCCTAGAGAACGAAAGGTGATTTGTCATCTTTTAAATAGAGGAGTAGAGTAGTTAGTGATGGGGTGATGGGAGGTTTTGGGTAGATGGCGTGAATTTTTTGAGTAGCTTTTAACTGTTGACGAAGAAAGGGGAAGCGGTAATTTCATGCACTGACAGGGAGGTATTACCATCTTTTAGGAAGTCGTGAAGAAAGAACAGGATGAGGTGATGGGGAGGTGCGAGGAGGCATCATTACGTAGTTGAAGGGGGTAAAAGCCGCCGGATTTGACGGGATCATGCACAGAGAAAATATTAAAAGAGGGGGGATTTATAGGGTTGGAGTGATTGGTATTTTTGTTTTAAAATGTATGAAAGAGGCGAATGTACTTGGGTTGGCAGAGTGCATGTATAGTCCTTTATATAAGGAAGGGGGACATAAAGAGATTGTAAAAGTTATAGAGGAAATAAGTTTACTGCGTACCTTGGAACAAGGTATGCAGTGGCTTTACCACTGTGGTGGCTGAGAAGGTATAGCCACTGCGTTCCTTGTTCAGGTTCGTAGGTTCGAGTCTACTTCAGGCGTGATCAGTGTTTGTGAATATTTAGCAGGCTCTTGCGAATTCCTTGGCATTGTTAAAATCTTAAGTAAGGCTGATGCATGCTGGGGATGAGTATGAAAGGCTGTAGCTTGGCTGCATTAGATCAAAAGTCTAGCGCAAGCTGGACGCCGAGGTATTGGTCCTATGTGTGGTGAGAATGGTATATAGCACTGCCGTATCCTGTTCCCAAGGTTAGTAGGTTCGAGCTCCTTCACGCAAGAGATCAGGTGTTTGTCTGTGTATTTCGCTGCTCCTTGCGATATTACTATGCATATATATATATATTATATATTATATATAATATATATATTTATATATATAATATATATATATATATTTCTATCTATTATATATATTAATATATATATATATGCTTTCTTGTGGATGTGTGAGGGGTAAAACACAATTACCTCAGTGACCTGTATTAACTCAGCACCCCTTTCTCCAGTACAAGTGTAATTGAAATTTAGAAGATATAGGGCGGACCCTGCAGTCCATTAGGACTGGACAACTCTGGCAGGGAGCAGTTT